TGAGTGGACCAATTCAGTCATGTATTGAAAAGGAAGTTTGTAAGAAGTCAGTCTCATACAGTGACTAGACCTATGGGTTTTAGAATAATATTCCCTTGAAAAAATCTTTGTTCCATTGTTTTGGAAAAGTTACTCAACCTCTCTGGGTTTCAGGTTTCTTTTCTGTAAATGACGAAAGTAGCTATCATTGGTTTTGGTTTGCATCATATGAAATTTATTTTAAGCAGTTAAGGGAGTGTCTGGTATATATGAAGGGTTCAATAATTGCTAAATTTGATCAAATTTGGAGGTTATTATTAAAAGTGAATGGGAAAGTCATTTCCTGTTATGGTAGACAAACTTGAGTAAGACCATTTCTACTATTTAGATCAAGTAGGAAAGATGGATAAAACATGGAAAGCATCTGTTGAAGGCATCAGGTGATTATCAAAGAACAAGTTCTTAAAAAGCCAAACTTGCCGGGCTTGGTGGCTCAGCCTGTAATCCCGCCCCTTTGGGAGGCTGAGGTGAGTGGATTGCCTGAGGCCGTGGGTTCGAGTCCCGCCTGGGCAGCGAGACCTCATCTCTACAATAAATCAAAAAATCAGCCAGGCATGGAGCACACGCCTGTAGTTCTGGCTACTCGGAAGGCTGAGGCGGAAGGATCGCCGGAACCCAGCAGGTCGAGGCTGCGGTGGCCGGGAGTGGCCACTGCACTCCAGTCTGGGCGACAGAGTGAGAATCTCACTCAAAAAAAAAAAAAAGAAAAACTAGACTCTAAGAGTAAGACTAATCATAAATATTCTGGTCTGTAAAAGGACTGATGTTCACCTTTGAATAAACCTAGCTGTACAGCATTAAAGTAATCTGTCCTGTTTTAACTACCAAAGTAAACCCTCTCAGAGGAAGAAAACATCAAAGTATTACAACCTAAAAGTACTTTGATATTTTTAAACAATGTCGGGCCTTTTAGAAAAAATTACCTATCATGTAAGGAGACATGACCAGTGAATGAAAAGCTAGAGAAGATAAAAAGAAAACAGATGATAGAAATTGACCCATAGGAGATATAGACATTGGAGTTATTAACCACAAAGCTTAAAAGAATTGCTACAGGCTGGGCTTGGTGGCTCAGCCTGTAAACCCAGCACTTTGAGAGGCCGAGATGACTGGATTGCCTGAGCCCGTGGGTTTGAGACCCACCTGGGCTACTTGGTGAGACCTCGTCTCTACAATAAATTAAAAAATAAAAATAAATTAGCTGGGCGAGGTAGCGCACAGCTACTTGGAAGGCTGAGGCAGAAGGATCACTGGAGCCCAGCAGGTCGAGGCTGTGGTGGCCGAGAGCATGCCACTGCTCTCCAGTCTGGACAACAGAGTGAGACTCTAACTCAAAAAAAATAAAAATAAAAGAACTGTTATAAATACGGTCAAGGAAATAGATGACAAGATGCTTAATGTCATGAGGCAGTTAGATCTACGTAAAAGAAATAAATGGATATCCTAAAATTGAAAAATGCATTTAAGTGAACAGTTGATAATTTGAAATAATTTATTAAACATATTTTTTCTTTTTGTACTTTGCCTTCTAAATAAGCTATATATTTGAAGCTAATTAAAATAAGAGCTGTGTAACAATAAGAGTCTATAACTTGAAACAGAATTTCAAATCTTTTGTTGAATAATACAGAGCTATAACCCCAGGAAAAATACCTTAATTATTTAAAGAAATCTGTGCCTCCACTATTCCTCTCATCAGCATGATTATGGAAAACAACTGAACCTAAACCAGGCAAAGTGAGGACCAATGAAAAACTCAAACCTCACCTGTATGATGACCACTTATGTACCTAACCCTGAATTTTACCCCACATCTTTAAAATTAAAAAAAAAAATTAAACAGAAAAAAAAAAGAAAACTGAACCTTGGTGAAGAAAGATTAAATACTATGAGTAAATCTATATCCATTCTTATTTTAAGCATCAGTGGTACACCTCTATTTCAATCTCATTAAGTATAAATGTATTTTCTTTTTAAAATTTTAATATTTTACTTGGCCAAATACATTAAAATGTTTATATTTTCTTCAGCTAGTTTGCACTGTGAAAACTTATACTGTTGGTGAAATAATTATATTTGGAGCCTGAAAGTATTGAAGGTCATGTGATTGGTTAGTATGGGCAGTTGACACACTTCAAGTTTCTAAGAAAAGCATCATTAAGTACTGAGATAAATCATATAAGTGTATTGAAAATAAAATTTGCTTCAATAAATTTACTCAATCCATTACTAATTTTAATCTACAATCTAATTAAAATTATAATTCACAATTATAATTTTATATAAACCCTGAATCAGCAGGGTTTATATAAATCAGAATTTTTCTTCTCACTCACATAAACATAATAAAATAAAACAAACACTGGTATTAACTTGTTAGAAGCAACATATTACAGTAAGAATTACACTTACTTCCTTATCTATACTTTTGGTTCTGTAAATTTGGCCAAGATGAGAACTCAAAAAAAAAAAAAAAATATATATATATATATATAATATTCCTTATATTATATGTTCTTATAATTTGGTTAGCTATAAAAATTAAGTAGAATACCCCTCCAAACTACCCCTGAAATTATGTGATATGATGAAGTATATTGAAAAAAGATTATTATACAGAAAATATTAATGAATGTTTATTAAAAACATAAGTGAGACAAAGATTTGTGAATTGTTATACATAATCTCCATAGAGGGAATAAAAGATTGAGGTGTCTTATGGTCATCAAATCAGAGTGTTTAGCCTCAGATTTGTTTTTAACTAGCTCTGTGACCTCAAGTATGTCATTTAATTTCTCTGACTCAGCTTGCTCAGCTCTAAAACAAAGACAATCATGTATAATCTATTTCCATAATTAAGCCGTAAACATTTATTGAACACCTTCTATGTGCTAGTGCCTTTGTAAAATGCTTAGGATATTAAGAATACAGGACACCGTTGAAGATTTGAACACTGTAATGTATGTGAAAGCATTTTGTAAAGGATAATAATACATTATATAAACCACTATTTTATGCTATCATGTGATTATAAATATTTTTCTAGAAATGCCAGGAGCTTCTAGCTCTCACCCCAAATGCAAGAAGACCTTTGATTATGACAAATTTTACAAATGCAAATTAAAGTGTATAACAATTATCAAAAAGAAAAAAAAAAAGAGGTATACTAGGAAAAATGAAACTGCTTTCCAACCAGGATGGAGAAAGCATAACAAGGCAAATAATAAAGTGAAAATGACTTTGAATTCCGAGTGCAGAGGTAAGATAGAATAATAGTCTGGGAATTTCCAGAAAGCATTAACATTGCCTATCAGCTTAAGAGTCCCCATGACAAAATGGGAAAACCATAATGGAACGTTTTTCTTTGATTAAAATGAAGAAAAGAAAAGCATTTAAAAAATGCCAACCCAAGACAAAGGGAGAATAAGCAGAATCAAGCGTTACTCTGCAACGTGAGACACTCTTTGAGAACAGCATAAAGAAAGATGACAATTTTGATAATAAAGACTAGCAAGAGAGACCACAATAGGAACACAAACCTCTATTTTAACAAAGTCTATAGTTGGTGAGAACTTAGCCTCTAGGCTTACTGACCCTGCATCTTGCCAGAAACTTTACCACTGTTGGTTGAAACTTTTGAAAACTAACATTGCAAAACGTCTTCTGCAGTTCCAGCAATACACTACATTACAATGAAAACTAGACATGAATGAGACCTTTGAGAAATATCCTCTCGCTTCCAGGGAGTGTGGTATAGGAATATGGTGGGCAATGATTTAAAACAAAAAAAAAAAACATAGCTTGGAATAAGAAAACACAGAGCAGGACACATCTTATATTATATCCTATTTACACGATTGCACTGAGAAAATAAAAAGTTCCACACAGAAAAGCTTTTAAAGGAATAAAAACATCTAACATGGTTATGTGATTTTTAAAAGTTGGTTCATTTCATTGAAATTTAAATATGCCTCACTTTATGGATAGAAGGTTTTCAGAAGATTTGACCAAAGTAAATCCTTTCTTTATTATCAACATCCCTTTTATAATCCAGGTTTCATTTCTCAAGGAAAAAATAATCCCTTGGTTGAAAAGAAGATACTAAGTCTGTATAACCATAAATACCCATTAACCCATGGGTTAATAATGCCCATTATTAATTCACGTTGTCAAGTTTTCTCTCATAATTAGAGATTGTCTAAAATATTACATCTGTACTTCTTGGAACTTTATTCCTATATTCTTTGTCTAATAGATCTTAATTACATTGTCAGAAGAGTTTGAAATCAAGCATGCTATTATTCTAGTCTAAACATTTTGTAAATTTAAGGCTACAATTTAGTAAATTTTCATCCTTTACTTTGTCAATTTGTTAAAATGAAACAAACCATACATTTACATTCCCTTGTTAGTTCTGTCACTTAGTCTTTAATTAATCTTTCCTATCCAGTTTCAATAAACATTAGTCAAAGGGATTGTAGAGTCAGCTGTCCTGGGACTCTCTCAATATTTGGGTCATTAAGCCATACAAGTTTTCATGTCTACTAATGCTTTTGAAATAGATCTAAAAATGTCACAGAAATGGACAAGGCAAAAAATAAAGAAAAACACCAATGTAAACATCCAAATTTAGATGAGAAAACCTTCCATAATGAAAGTATTTTTTTTCTTAGAGACATTTCACTATAACACTACTAGAATATAATTACAGAAAATTTTTATGAGATTCATGAGTCTTAATTAATGCCAATGACATCAAAATGCAAAACAAAGCAATACCCAAAGAATTAACAATGTATCCAGAACATTAAGACAAACCAAAACATTTTTTATTAAGCAATAGGCACCATGAGGCAAGAAAATGATGTAAGGTTCATGAATGTAAATATTCCTTTTTTCACACTTAGAGGGTAGGTAGCAGTCAAATTCAAGGGGGAGAGAAATACCAATACATCACTTACTTCTTTGTATCCGAAGATGATGCGTCCATCCATGAGGAGTGTTGCCTGAAACGTGAAGCTTCCCAGGTTGTAATTATCCTGGAGATGGACATGATCCCACTGAACAACAAGAGCTGTGCCTATACATGACATGAAAAAAGAAGAAACACAATGAGATAATCTCACCAATCAATCCTGGTAGGAGCCTTCACGAAACAACAACAAAAATTAATCTGGCCTTCAAATCTAGTAGTTACACAATTTCAATTGTATGTGGTTAATTGGAATTCTGTCACTGAAATAGTATTTGGGTTTTTTGTTTTTGTTTTTGTTTTTTTTTAAGGATTGAGTATTCTCTAAATATTTTGTAAAATCTAACCTCATATTGAGGTTAATATTGAGCCAACCCAGCATGGGGGAATTTTGCCTTAGGAATTTCATTAATGTTAATGGGTACTGTCTGCTTAAATTGCCATGAGCCACTTTCAAAATGTAGCCCAAGTGGATTGAATGAACTTCAAATACGATTGACAAATGCTGAAAGAGAAAAACATATTTTAAAAGGTAGAACCACTTATAAAAGTCCTGAAAATGTATTTTCCATACTTAGAATTATACTCTTCCACACCGAAGAAGTTTTTTTAACACTAATGGGAATTTTCTTCTTCAGGTCACAATGCCTGCATTTGTCTCTTTGTTTTATTTCTTCCAGGAGGCTCTAAGTAGCTTAAAGGACCCTGGGCTAAGATTTCTGATACCCCCTTGAAGTACACTGGGATGAAAACTTCAGTGCTACATAATATATTCTGATGACTCACTCTGACAGTGTTTACTATTAAACAACATGAAATTAAAAATTAGACAATCATTTAATAGTCACAAATGAGAATTCATATTTTTGTTTTAACTGACATTGTGCATTCTCTATTCTTTTGGGGAAAAAAAATGAACAGCGAAATCTTTGTTTGGCTCTAAATATTAGATTTTGTTTTGTTAAAAAATATCTTGTTGCCAAAAAAAAGTGTATTGAAAAGGAAACTCACAGAACTAAAAGAGCAGAACTTATCTGATTTTTTTTTTTAATAACAAGTGTATGACAAAATTAATTTCAGCAACTGTTTGGTGCCATTCATAATATCTCTTGAGCTAGGTGACAACTTTTATTTTACTTCATAGTTTTTAATATCTGATTGTAAATCCTTAAAGGATGTAAAAGTCTGAAAATATATTTATTTGAGGTAAAACTTTAGAATTAAAAAAAATTTTTTTTGAACTTGATGATTGTAGCCAGGGGATACAACCAACACATATCACCATCATGGGCGAAGACCACCCCAGGTCTCTTCTTTTCAAGGGCATCCTAGCTTCTTTTTCCTTCACACATACAACCTTCAACTCTAGTCTCTCCCGTAGTCTCTAATTTTTATCAGACCTTGGTGGTGCAGTGAAATCAATGAATAAGAAGGCAGAAGACTGAGACTTGCATCCTTCTTCTGTAAAACCTTCTGTGTGAACTTGGTCACAGTTAGCCTGCAGGAATCTGTTTCCTCTCCTATAACATGAGTGCTACAATTCTTACCTTCAAGGAAATTCTCCATTAAATATATATGAAAATATAGTTACCTATATTAGCCACAACAATAGTTACCTATGGTTACCTCAAACTCCTTGTGAAAAAGGCAGGTTTACATAAATTAATCCAATGTTTTCAATGCAAATTCAATGAAGATATCCCTAATACATTATTTGTAGCAAGTTTTTGAAAATAACACTATGTTTGGACATGCTGAGCTTTAAATTAATTATAGCATAGCTCTCTCAACATTTATTTATTTAAATTTTCTAACCTGCTACTGTCTTCCCTAGCAAAGTTTGCTTTCTAAAATGCTGAGTTTCTAGTCCTTAAGCCTTCTAGCAATGATCCCAACCAAAGTTGAAAATATTTTAGCAAGTGTCTATGGTATAAAAATGATTTTGTGAAGAACCTTACAGTATTTAAAAGTGTTTCATTCACTCAATAAAACACAAGCAATTACTCTGCTTTTATTATCATATTCTTCAATATTACATTCCTATGTAATGAGTCATATTACACAAGGATATTTCAGTAGGTAAAAAATACATACATTCTTGACTGTTAATACTTTTAGGGTTCTCAAAATTAAAAACTCATCTTACATATGTAATTATTCTTTATTCATTCACTGAATGATTATTGAGGCCCTACTGCCTATTAAGTATCTGTGCAGAGTACAAGAGATAAATGATTTCTTAGAAATAGTCAAGTCTTTGTTTTCAAGGACCATACAGTTCAGTGGCAGTGGTATATACCAATTTTTAAAAAGTACTAAAATACAAGTAAAGTTCAGATTTTAAGCGCTACCTAGGAACAAGGTATATGAAAGGATATACGAAGAGACTTACTTTAAATGTTTTATCACTTTAATACTAATAATGTAAAAACTAGGTCATTATAATCCTTTGCTCATGGATAAATGTCCCTAAAATCACCTAGTAAGTGATAGAGCTTGGAAAATAGTTAACTTTCATTAAATCATTTCTTATTTATTTAAGGTAGATTGCTAAAATAATTTTACATGGGAGACCATAGAAAAGTTTTAGATAAGTTTCTGGCTGTAGTTTTGCCTAAAGAATACTGTATTTTCAATCTACTTATACATCCTTGAGTGTTAGCACCTCATTAGTCTAAAAAAAGTGAGATAAAATATAGTTCTTAAAATAGCATAAAGAAATAATTACTATGGCTAACATTTAGAGTTACTTAATGTTGGATTACACTTTGGTGTTATTCAAACGGTTATTTCCCAAAGTGAATATGTAACTATATTTAGTTTTCTTCTTTGCTATTTAGACCAGTAAAACAGCTTTATCACACTGGTCAGGAGATGGATTTAAGCAAAATGATTCTATTTCTCCAAGGCTACTGCCACCATCAAGTCTATGCCACCTGCTGGTAAATTTCTTTTTGACCATCAGAAATAAGCCAAGAGTAGAAATAATTTTGCTCATTTCAATGCTTCTGTTACTTCCAGATCTGAAATTCATATTTGAACAAATAAATACTATTTCTGAATTATGAAGAGACAGAAAATTCTACATTAAATTAATATTTCCAATACAAACTTTTTGTTAACTATAGTTTATTTTCTCTACAAAAGTTACAGCTTTCAATAAGATGTAGAAATGAAAGATCATTTATGTCTTTGAGACCTTAAATGTCTTACTTGCATTTTGGTAGCATTCAATGATATAGTCTAGATTTCTCTCTATTTTGTATGTCCCAAAAAGAAATGTCAGGAATAGGGTGCTATAGTTTCACTTGGTAAATTTAACAGACTCAAATAAGAAAAATTTCATTTTCTTTTTTTTTTTTTGAGTCGGAGTCTCACTTTGTCGCCCAGACTGGAGTGCAGTGGCCGCTACCGGCCACCGCAGCCTCGACCTGGGCTCCGGCGATCCTTCCGCCTCAGCCTTCCTCAGCACCTATGGAACTACAGGTGCATGCTACCACGCCCGGCTAATTTTTGATTTATTGTAGAGATGAGGTCTCACCAAGTTGCCCAGGCATGTCTCGAACCCGCGGGCTCAGGCAATTCACTCACCTCGGCCTCCCAAGGCATGGGATTACAGGCTGAGCCACTGAGCCCGGCCCAAATTTCATTTTCTTAAATGTATTTTAACCACTCACTACCTTACACATTTTAAAGGTATGTTCATCTTATTGATACATGCAGTTAGTAAGTTTTGGAAATTTAATGTCACTATATCATGCCCCTTAACCTCTACTGGAAGTCCAGAACTAACAAAATTATTCTTATATAGATATTTTCTAATTTAAAAATTAAAAAATCTTCTTATTGAGGATAGCATGAAATAAATGTATTTGCTTTGCCTGAGGTATTGTCTACAAAGCTAATTTTTATAGTGTATAGTAGCTATTGATAAACATTTGTTGAATGAATGATTGACATTTGATGATGTACTTTACATGTCTTAGCAATTAACATTTGCCATCCTGTAGCATTTGCATCAAGCAATTTACAAATTCAGTCTACCAAATGTTAACAAATTGTTCACATGAATCTGATGTATGATGTTTAAAAATATTCATTTACAAAAAAATAGATGAATCAGTACATACCATTGTCAAAGTATCTGACTGTTGAATTTCTGGATACACTGGGGTCAAAATTTGCCATCAGAGGTGCTATGTACTGTGTGGCTGTTAACATTCGATGCACAACTTCTCCAGTGTATATAAAGCCTAGAATTAGAAAAATAAGATATATATAAAGAAAAAAGCCCAGATAAAATTATAATTAAAATACCTTCAACTCAATGACTGTCATCTTTTGAAAATAAAATATCATGGTAGCTAAAAAATAAGTAATTAATGTCTTAGTGTCTGATTAATAATACTCGGTTTGGATTAAGCAACAAATTCCCATGTGATTTGGTCAAACCTTGCAGATTGGTAATTTAGACATCTATAACACATACGATTTTTATTGTGAGAAGATTGACTATTATCTAAAAGAGACTATTAAGCTGAAACATGTTAACACAGTACTGTACGTAACTCAAATATTCAATTTGCCATGTCTAATCCCTTGTTATAACAACACTAGGTTAACATGCAAGTACTTTTAATGAATGAATTCATATTCATGATATTTATTTAAATTTTCTTAAACTACAGTCTCCATGTAGGACATTTTAGAAACCATACATGCTAAAATGCAGAAAATATTTTGATCCTTTTGTTTTGAAAGTTGAAAGGGGGTAAGACAACCCTAGCAAATCTTTTCAATTTTCAGATTGCTCAAACCTTTATAATACTAGCACTCTATCAAGAAGATAAAGACCATACATTTGCAGATAAGATGGTAAAGCATTGACAATGCACAAATGCCTCCTTATTAGAGAGTTATCAATGCCAGTCTATTCTAGCAGTTGGATAATGAGAGGGAATTTACTATGGAGGACTTAGGCTTTGAATTAACTTTCAATAGCCCCTGTGTTACAAGTCTAACCCACGTTCAATTATTCATACTAGGTTTATTTACTTTGTGGATTATCCATGACAAATTGTTAATCCTATACTGGCTTCATGCCTTTGAGGTCTTTAGCTGCCCAAAAGCAGAGTCAGTTCTGGAAATGTGTACTAATTTTAATGTTAATCCAAGAAATATACAACTAAGAATAAATAAGCAAATGCACACAAATATTACTTTGCATTTCATTCGTGACAGTGCAATTGTCATGTTTGGGCCATTGTTAGTTAACTAGATATCTGAGGCTGCTATAGGTCATTTTTCTATTTTCACAAAAATTAATAAAATAGAACAGGAAAGATTAAAAAAAGACTTAAAAATTGTATGACATTTAAAAACCTCAAAAAGCATTAAACTTTCTTATTTGACAGTCTGAATAAAGATTTGATTTGGCATATTGTGGTCCTCATTGTTTCAGATTCTAAATTGTGATGTCTAGGTAAGTTATTACAGAACTAAATCTGCAGTTGTTTACTTAGAAATTAATTTATCTCTTTTTGGCAATGTCTTCTTCATTTGACCAACTTTTAATTTCTCATTAAAGGCATAAACAAACTCTGGCTATTCATCTCAAAAATATATTTTAAAAAAATCTTCAACATATATTTTGTATCATTGTTACTTCTTTCTTCTCATTTGCTGAGCACTTCAAAATAAATCCCTGACAGCTTAAGCAGAATTTTGTTTGTCATTACAAATAGCTCAAGTTCACTTAAAGATATTATAGTGCTATTATCAATGTTTTTATTATATTCTTTCTAGATTTTTCAGTCATACTTTAACTGTTCAAAGTGCTATATAACATCCTTAAAATTATAAATGTCAAGGTTCACTATTTTTCAGGGTCTCTGACTTATTTTTTCTCCTGTCTTTACCAGTATACATTTATAGTTCCATTTTAAAAGGATACAGCAATTCCACAGATGCAATCTTTAAAAAAGAGGGTTTGAATTATACTCTGAAAGTGTTCTTTCAGAGAAAGTAGCTTCAGGTAGTTATTTCTCTACTTTATATTTTCCATGTACTAATAGAAGAAATTGCTTAACTTGGAGTACAGAAAGCAGCAATTCAAGGCAGGAAGATAATTTTAAATCAATACAAAAATCCATCCTCCAAACAACTCTGTAAAAAAAGCAGCAGCAATTCTTAGAAACACATTGTTGCAAAATGCAGGATCATTGATGGTTTCGGGCAGGTAATTCTCACTGATAGTATTTAGAATAAATAAGATACATATACTTGTCCCTCAATGTTTCTAGATTTGTCAAGAAGTTACTCTGCTATCTATTATCCAGTTTTCAGATCATAAGAACCATTAACTGTTGCTTCCTTTGGCCAGCAAAAGTTTTCCAGACACACAATTACCCAAATTTCAAATTATTCTCAAAGAACAATGGAAGAATGTGTTAATATTTGAAAACTATTGTTATAGTTTTCAATTGTTCTATTATTGTAACATTAATCCAAATTGTAATTACTATGGGTATTACAATACCCTCAACTACAACTGACAAGAAAAAACTACTACAATTACATATCTGGCTCTACTATTCGTACCACAACCACCAAGATTAATATGAAAAATAACCCCAAGATGATAGACCCCATTACTCTGCAAAATGAATTCAATTTAGCTAATTCAGGAAATATTTTTTTGTTTTTCTTGGCTATATTGAAAACTAATTCACATCAATATTTCAAGTAAGTTCTTCATTGCCAGGAAGTAGAATGTTTGACTGTAGTGAGGGGATTTAGTTAGTTCTCTTTAAATTTCTATATTAAAAAATATCATTTCAGGAGAGGTTTATAACTGAGTGAGGAGAAGCTTTACAAGCTTGCTGAGAGGAGGGAAATGTAATTAGGTGTTAAATAAGAACCAGTTATGCGAATTCACACAACAAAACTTTTCCAATACTTCAAAGGCACTCATAGCTATCAATGCCATATTTAGACATTTACTTCTTCTTTTTTGTTTTTTGGCTATGCTGAGTATACCCCGTTCTGTAGAAAAAATATTTCATTGTTCTAGTCCTTCACATTTTGGGGTAATTTAAGCAATATATTTAAACTATTTTTCTTTGTAGTTATCTGAAGGAGTAATCATAAAGTATTTTCTTTGCTCACTACGTGCTTCTACTATAAATAGCAGTTATCTGTCTAGTTAGGAGATTTGTGGAAAAATGGTTATTATCCAGATAGTTTGGAACTTAGAAAGATACCGTGTTTTAAAAGAATCAAATAAGAGAAATGGAGACACTCAGTTTTTTGAATCTCAAGTAATAGTTAAGACATTGCCTTTCCCTTTTGCCTTAACCACTCATAAACCTAGAGGCAGATTCTGAGTTCAGTTGTAATCAACAGCTTTGCTTTTGTGCCTTGAAAAATCCCCTGAGCTGCTTTCTGTAGGTGGTCTATAATCATCTGAAAAACCTAGTTTTAAATCTGTAAGCTTCATCAAGTCATTTGGGGATTCTATCATTGTAGATTTTGTCATGGATAAATCCCACTCAATCGTTCCAGATCTATTAACCACAATTATGTATTTACTAACCAAAATATTGCTGCAATAATTGTGAAATGAACCAGTACCTATTAAGGCCTTTAGAAATTACACTTTTTGCATGTATTCTTCTTTTATACCAATACAATAACATTAGAAGAAAGAATGGTGGTGTTATTACTACCAGTTCCCTTTATTAAATAAAGTATTTAATAAGGCTGGGTAGTTTGCCCAAAATCACATGGTCAGAATAGGTCTTGTGATTCTAAATTATGGGGTCTTCACAATCTATTTTAGAACTCATGATGTGTCTAGCCTTATGTTAGGTACTAGGAAAGACAGAAAATTATATGATATTTCTTCTACTTCTCGTGAGGTCATTTCCAAGACAACCACTCTGCAGAAATTCTGACAATCCTCATAAGCAAGTTAAAAGTGCCACAGGATAATACTTCCCAGAACTATACCATAAGCCCTCAGTTAACATTGTTTATAGGCTCTTGGAAACTGCAACTTTAAGCAAAATAGAGTGAAAACTTTTACCACAGGCTAATTGATATAAACAAGAGTTAAGTTCTTATGGCATATTTCTGGTCACCAAAACATCACCAAGCTTGTAAATAAAGAGCAAATACTTTCAATATTAAGCACTGAATCAAAACTGAGCTATGCATACATCAAGAAACCTTGGTAAAAAAAAAAACAATTAAGATAATTCTTTACGCAATTATTCCAGTTCAGGGTCATGGGCATCTAGTGCCTCTCCCAATCCTCTTCTGAGGGCACAAGGAAGGCACCAACTCTGGCCAGGATGCCATTCCATCATGGAGTGCATTCGTCCACAGACCCGCACTCACTCACACTTGAGTCACGTAGACACACCAATAAACCTGATCTGCACATCTTTGGGAACCAAGAGTACACAGACAAAACATACGCAGACTTGGGGAGAAACATGCCAACTCAACACAGACACAGAATCTCTCATCATGAAACAATGTTGAACAAAATGACTTCTTTCAAAGACCTGCTATGCTCTCCCTCACTGGGTTTTATACTCAGGAACTTTGAGGAAGAAAAGGCCTGTTCTTCCATGTGCATATGCATGTTCTTACATATGCATGTAAGGCATTGAACATCTGTATTAAATTCTGCCTTTACAGTATAAATGGCAATGCTATAGGTCATCTTTGCTATGTCATGCATACTGTTATTTCTACAAATCAACCATATAGATATGAAATTTATTGCCTTTTGTCCACGAGGATTTGGAGAACAGCTTCTTCATTCCTGGTATCTTGTTAACCTCATATATGATATTTTCTACTTTTTTCACAAAGAATAGAGTTATTTAACTGGATGTAGTTTGTGGTTATTGTTTGTCAGTTGCTCAGTGTTGGTGGTGGATAACTTGCCTGAAACAAACAAATGATGTCTGAACATAATTCAACTTGTGTTTCACACAAATTTTATTTTTTAAGTCATGATACATTTTTATGTGCTATATACTGACTTTTCAATGACATATACTTGTTTATCACTGAGTGAGCCCTTTAAACAAAACCAAATGTGGCAGCGACTGTTAATTTGAAAATAAAAAATTGTGGTAAGTTATCTGGTAATGTAACTGTCTGCCAGCTGCAACTTTACAATGACAAGTTCCATGTGTCAGGCGTCCTCTGAACATAATTACTACTAGTAGACCACACAGCTCATTGTGAGGTTATTGGTTTGTATATGTAAGGTAGAGAATTAGTACAAAATTGAAGAAGAAATAGAATTCTGAAATTCATGTGAGCTTACTAACTACTGGTTCCTAGAAAGAAACCCATAACATTGTCAATCACCAAATACTTTCCCTTTACAATTCCAACCAGCTATCAAGTTAACTATATCAGTAAGGTTTATGACAAAATATATCCATTGGTTCCTGGGAAGGAATCTATAATGTTACCAATCACCAAATATTTTCCCTTTATGTTTCCAACCAGCTGTGAAGGTAAGTCAACTATATTTTATATACTAAATTATATATATGTATATATATGCATATGTACCTGTTAAGATATATCACAAACCATAGATTATTTCATTATATAGGATTAAGGCACCATTGTGGATTAAAAACCACAACAAAGCCATGCCCGGGGGTGGGGGAAAGCAACAAGAGACAATTTGGTTATCAGCGGCAAATTATGTTCGTAAAATTACGAATATTATAACCGGTGAAGCTGGTCTTTACGGATGAAGAAGAGATAAAGATTTCCCCCAAACAAAAGCTGAAGAAATTCATCACTGTTAGAACTATCTTGCAATAATGCTAAAGTGAGTTCTTTAAATTGAACTAAAACAATGTGAACTAACAACATAAAAACACAAAAAAATAATCTCACTATAAAGGACAGGATGTAGTCAAATTCAGCTATGTTTGTGCACTTTTTTTTCTATTTTGATTCAAGGGATACATGTGCAGGTTTGTTATATGGGAATATTGTGCGATGGTGAGGCTTGGGCTTCTATTGAGCCAGTTACTCAGGTAGCGGACATGGTGCCCAGGGGGTAGTTTTCAGCCCTTACCCTCCTCCCCAACCCCTTGGAGTGTCCCATTTCTGTTATTCACACCATTGTGCCCATGTTTATATAGTGGAGAACATATAATAGTCAGTATTCTATTTCTGTGATAATTCACACAGAATGATGGTCTCTAGCTGCATCCATGTTGTTACAAAGGACATGATTTTCTTCTTTATTGTGGCTACCTAATATTCCATGATGTACATGTATTACATTTTTCTTATCCATTTCACCATTAATGGGTACCTAGGTTGGTCCCATATTTTTGCTATTGTAGATACTGCTGTGACACACATGTGCCTGCAGGTTTCTTCTTGGTATAGGTTTATGCCCCTTTGAATACATACACAGTAGTGGAATTGCTGGGTCAAGCAGTAAGTCTATTTTTGGTTCCTTGAGATATTTCCAAACTGCTTTTCATGGGGGTTTAACTAGCGTGCATTTGCACTGACAGTAAAGGTATGGGAATGCAAGCTAGTTAAGCATCTCTGCTAGGACCTGTTTTGTTTTTTGACTTTTTAATAAAAGCTCTCCTGACTGGAGGGATATTGAATCTCATTGTTATTAAGATTTGCATTTATCTGATGATTAGTGCTATGAACTTTTAAAAATATGTTTGTTGGCTGTATGTCTTCCTTTGAGAAGTGTCTCTTCATGTCCTTTGTCCACTTTTTAATGGGGTTATTCGTGTTTCTTCTGTGGATTTGTTTGATAGATTCTGAAGATTAGACCTTTGTTGGATGCATAGTTTGCAGACTTTTTTTTTATCAGTCTGCTGTCTGTTGACGCAGTTGATGGTTTCTTTTCCTATACAGAAGCTCTTCCATTTGATTAGGGCTCACTTGTCAATTTTGTCTTTTGCTGCCTTTGCTTTTAAGGTGTTGGTCATGAATTCATGCCCAAGATGATGCCCAGGAGAGTGTTTCCTATGCTTCCTTCTAGAATTTTTAGTTTGAGGTCTTATTTATCAGTCATTAATCAATCTTGAGTTAACGTTTGTATATGATGAGAGGAAAGAGCCCAGCTTCACTCTTCTGCATATGTTTTGTCAATTTCCCTAGCACCATTTGCCAAATGGGGTGTCCAGATTTCAAGGTGGTAATGTGATGCCTCCAGCTTTGTTCCTTTTGCTTAGGATTGCTTTGGCTGTGGGCTCTATTTTGCTTCTATATGAATTTAAGTATTGTTTCTTTTCCAGAGTAGTGAAAAATGAGGCTGGCAATTTGACTGGGATTGTGTTGAATCTATAGACTGCCTATAGATTCTTGACAATAATGATTCTTCTGATCCATGAGCATGGAATGTTTTCCATTTGTTTTTGTCATCTATGATTTCTTTCTGTGCTATTTCACAATTCTCAATGTAGAGATCTTTCATGCCTTTAATTATATGGATTCCAAGATATATTTTTTGTGTGACTATTGTAAATGGGATTGTGTTCCTGTTTTGGTTGTTGTTTTAAATGGTGTGGATGTATATAAATGCCACTGACTTTTGAGTGTTGATTTTGTATCCTGAGAGACTTTACTGAAGTTGCTTATGAGAGCCAGGAGTCTTTTGGTGGACGTTTTAGGGTTCACTAGAAACATATAATCATATCATCTGTGAAGAGAGATAATTTAACTTCCTCTTTACCTATCTGGATGCCTCTTATCCATTTCTCTCACCTTATTGCACTGACGCACTTCCAGCACAATGCTGAATAAGAGAGGTGAGAGTGAGCTTTCAGCTTCTGCTGATATTGGCTGTGAGTTTGTCATAGGTGGCTCTATTTTGAGGAATGTTTCTTTGATGCCTGAGTGGTTGAGTATTTCTGTCATGAAAAGATGTTGGATTTTTTTTTTTTTTTTTGAGTTGGAGTCTCACTCTGTCGCCCAGACTGGAGTGCAGTGGCCTCCCGGCCACCACAGCCTCGACCTGCTGGGCTCCGGCAATCCTTCCACCTCAGCCTTCCAAGTAGCCGGAATTACAGGCATGCGCTACCACGCCCGGCTGATTTTTTGATTTACTGTAGAGATGCGGTCTTGCTGCCCAGGCGGGTCTCGAACCCGCGGGCTCAGGCAATCCGCTCACCTCAGCTTCCCAAAGGCGCGGGATTACAGGCTGAGCCACCGAGCCCGGCTGGGATGTTGGATTTTATCAAAAACTTTTTCTGTATCTATTGAGACGATCATGTGGTCCTTGTTTTTACTTCTGTGTATGTGGTGAATACATTTATTTATTTGTATATGCTGAACCAGCCTTGCATCCTGGGAATATATTATAGCTGATTGTGATGGATTTTTAAAAATGTATTTATTGGATGCAGTCTGCAAGGATTTTGTTGAGAGTTTTTGCATCAATTTAATCAGTGAAATTGGCTTGTAGTTTCCTTTTTTAGTTGTGTTTTTGCCATTTTTTGTTATCAGGATGAAGTTGGCTTTATAAAATGAGTTTAAGAGGAGCCCTTTCTTTGAGTTGTTTGGAATAGTTTTAGGAGTTCTGGTACCAGCTCATCCTTGTACTTTTTTCTGGTAGAATTCAGCTGTGAAGCAATCAGGTCCTGGACGGGTTTTTTTGTTGTTGTTTGTTTGTTTATTTGTTTTACTGATTCAATTTCATGGCTCATTATTAGTCTCTTCATGGTTTCAATATCTTTCTTTTCCAATTTTGGGAGGTTGTGGGATTCCAGGAGTTTATCCATTTCCACTAGATTTTCTAATTTGCTCACACAGAGATGTTTACTGTAATCTCTGATGATCTTTTGTATTTCTTCTGGGTTAGTTGTAATGTCATCTTTGACATTTCTGAGTGTATTTATTTGGATTTTCTCTCTCCTTTTTTTTGTTAGTAGGGCCAGGGGTCTGTTAATCTTGATTACACATTCAAAGAATCAGTTTTTGACTCATTTATCTTTTGGCTTTTTTTGGTCTCAATTGCATTTATTTCTGCTCTGATTTTAATTATTTCTTTTCCTCTGCTAGCTATAATTATAGTTTATTCTTTTCTTTCTAGTTTCTGTAGGTGATTGTCAAATTGAGATCATCCTGATTTCCTGATTAAGGCTTGCAGTGCAATAAATTTTCCTCTTTACACTAATTTGGCAGTGTCCCAGAGGTTTGGGTATGTTGTGTCTTTATTTTCAGTTGCTTCAAATAATGTTTTTATTTTTGTCTTGATTTTTTTGTTTACTCAAAGATCATTCAGAAGCAAGTTGTTTAATTTCTATGAATTTGTGTGCGTTTGAGGATTACTCTTGGTGTTGACTTCTAGTTTTATTCTGCTGTGGTCAGAAGATGAATGGTATGACTTCAATCTGTTGGCATTTATTCAATGTTGATTTATGACCAAGAATGTGATCAGTCTTGAAGTATGATCCAGGTGAAGAAGAGAAGAATGTATATTCTGTAAATAATGGGCTAAGCATTCTCTATATGTCTATTAATGGTAATTGGTCAAGCATCACGTAAGTTCAGTATTTCTTGGTCAGTTTTCTATCTTGATTATCTGTCCAGATCTGATAATGCGGTGTTGAAGTCTCCCACTATTGGGGTATATCTGTCTATGTAGTTCTTCAGGTTGAGTGGCAGTTGTTTATAAATTAGGGTGTTTCTATGGATGCATATATATTTAAA